GAACTTCTTACCCACGAATGTTACACTTTTTCGTACGAAATTTTTTTTCCAATTTTCTATACTTCTATAATTCTACAAATTTCAATTTTACCCTCGTACAACTCAATTTTACCACACTTTCTTCTCTCAAGAAAGTTTTTGATCTCACCTCAATTATTTTCGTGAACCGATCTTGCCACCCTCTTCTTATCCACCTGCCTAAATCAATTCACCTCGTAACCCTCGTAAAAATATTTCCAACGTGTAACTCCGCATTGTGCGCGCTCGCACAAATTGACCTTGCAACTTCGAAGCCGAACCAAAAAAGATGAGAAACAAAAAAAAAAAAAAGGAGAAAGAAAAAAACGCATTAAACGCTGCTGCCATCTCGCAGTATCAGATTAGGCGGAACAGGATTCAAAGAATTAAGGAGGGGGTCCCACGATTTAATTGCGGCCGCAAGTTTTGCGAGGCAAGACGCGAAATCTCGACTCTTCCCGGAGTCTACCAACTCCCTCCCTCTTTACCTAAACAATCGCTGGTAAGCCAGAGAGGCAGTTCGAATTAGGGCTGAATTACACGTTGAACAGGCGAGCCCTTGGGCCAAAGACGGAATTTCGCGAGAGAGGAAGCGTGGAGGGCACGAAACTGGACGGAGAGAGAGAGAGATAGGGAAAGGGAGTGGAGAGAGTGGAAAGAGTGACAGAGGAGGTGGGAGGGGTGTGTACTGGCAACGAGCGGAAGATTTGCGAATAATTAGGTGGGCCGACAATAGCCGGGGTCCCGTGGCAGACCGGATACACAATGTGGCCTGCCACCAGCGGGATAATAGACAGAGAAGAACGACTCTATGGGGTTTTAGGATTCGACGGACATAATGGCAACTGGCCCATTGTCTACGTAGCCTGCAGACTGCCAACATCCGCTTTCGAGGGCGGCCACGCCGGCTCATCTGCATCCCAGCCTTCAACCCCTTCGAGTGTTTGGTTTCCAGCATCGTGGATGCAAATTTCCATCCCCGCGGATCCTCCCCGACCCGTTCGATTGCCATCGATCATCGGTGCACAACCAACAGCCGGAGGTTGTATCGACCGCCATTGTTCTTAGGAAAGAGGAAACTATTGTGGGTGGTGATTCGTCGGTAGGCATCGTCTGGGAGAAGGATTTTAAAAAGGATGCCTCGTAGTGTTCTTCTCAGATTTTTTTCTTTCTTTGGGCCTCTTTGGTGCGCGTTGTAAGTCGAAATATTTGGGAATAACTAAGCGAGAGAAAATGAATTTAAAAATTCTTTTTTAAAGGAAGGATGTAGATTTAATTAATCATGCAATTAGGCAGATATATTTTATTCTTCTCTGAGAAAAATTCAAGAAGAAAAATATTTACAATACTTGCCTCTACCAAATTATACAATCATTCGTTGAACCAAATACTTTCATCAAGAAAATTCGATTCATCTCTTTTACGAAATCATACATTTCATTTCAAACGAAACGTCTCCGATCCTCCAATCGAATCCGAGAAACCGTTCTTCCGTTAAACTTCTTCAAACGTATCTATACCCATCTCGAAACATCTCGTAGCATCGCGTCCCCGTGCAACAACACGATCCTCCAATTAATAATTCACGAAGTAAATCAGCGAGACCGTGACTGGCCCCATTCATCCAGCCGTATCGCTCCACTCTCCTCCGTACTTCTCACGAATCCTCTCTCCATGCGAATCCCTTCGAGAGAGGCAACCGCGACCCAGTTTCGCCGATCCTCGACTTCTTACGAATCCCCATACGACCGTTTTCCGACTTATTACAATTCGCTTCGATCGTACGGAAGAAGATGCGATGATCCGTGGTGCTCACCGTGGGATTTTCAGTCACCGAAAAATAAATCGCCCGGCATCGTTATGCTAATTCGCCGGGTCCGGTTGAACGCGCGCTCCACAGAGAGCTGGAAAAAGATGTCGTCCCTTTCTCGCCCTCGGTTCTCCTGCATAAAATCACCCGTGTGTGTGTGTGTGTACACACAGGCTGCCCCCTCTGCGCGAACGCCTCGATCTAATGTATGCGGCCACGCCGTGGCTGCTACCTGTCTTACCCTGAGAACTCGAGAACCGCATTGTGATTTTAATCGCCGGTCGGCTCTCCAGGTCAGCCTAACCGGGGTCAGGGTCACCGCTGAATTATTTAAATTACGCAACCCGCCCCCCTTCCGCCGAGAGGACGAGTCTGCGCCTGTGCGTATGCAACCCGGCGATACTTGGCCGAGCTGAACTTGCGGCAAGGAAGGGTAAGGGATGGAAAAGAAGGTAAAGGGGTGAAGTTTATTAGGAAGACTAGTGACGAGATATATCTCGTCGTTTCGATTCGTTCGTTGATCGATGACGGATGTCGATGAGATTTCGTTCGGTTTCGATGTTCGTGTGTGGGAAAAAAATGTGGCGGATCTTTTTTCGATTATGATAATTTTTGTTGAATGAGAGGAAGAAAGGGCTAGGAATGTGATTGTTCGGAGGGGGACAAGATTTTTGGCGAGCTAGGTGGATGGAGAGCGATCGGGTTTCTGGGTCAACATGTTGGTTCGATTAAACGTTTGTCGAAGCTGAATTTTTATCGTGGCTGCAGAATTTATGATTTAGAGCGATGACTTGTGTGAAACGGTTCACGCGTGGATGAATCCGTGTATAGGAAATTACCGTTACTCGATACTCTTTAAGCGCAAATATTTATTCCCGAATGTTTTGCAGACGACTGAGAATTAATGAGAAGTATTTATTTTCGAGAAATAAATCGTACTTATGACAATATATTTTAAAAAGGAATAAAGATTTTCCTAATTTTTCAATTCTTTCTGTTAGACCATCTATATTTGACACACGAATTTCAATTTTTACCGGAGAAATTAGCAGATAAATTCAAAAATTCAAACTTTATAACTTTATCTAGATTAAATCGTTCCTTTTCCGCATCTTAAAAAAAAAATTATTCTTTTTTCTTTTCCCACGAAACATCCTTCCAATTGAATTATATATCATCCACGGTTCATCGATGAATTTGAATATATCGATCGATTTATTTTATCCAATCCTTTGGTGCTCGGATTCTTTTTCTCAGGATCGAAGTCGCGATGCCCCACCGGGATCCGGACGAGAGAAGGAATGACACGAGCGGGGGGTCCAGTATGCAAAACGGGCCCGTTTTCCGGCCTCCCTGAATATTGATGTGTAGCCGGGTATGCAAATGAGCGTGAGAATGCAGCTCGTGCCGGATGGTGACGCGAATAGACGAGCCGGAAGTAAGCCAATACCCCGCCTTCTCCCTCCTTGCAACGTGCCCTTTCTTTTCGCCGAGGTCGAATTATAGTCGTTGACTTTTTCTTGCACGACCTTTCGGGAGCGGCGAGGGACCCGATTTATCAATTCTCCCTCTCTCTTTCCTCTACTCGATGCATCTAAGCGCGATTTAATTCTTTTTTTTTTTTTTTAGATTAATTTTTTTTTTCAATCGTAAGAAGATTCTTGTTGGATAAAATTTTAAATAAGAATTGAACTTCGAGGGTCATTGGTATTCGATTAAATTCGTTCTTTTTCTTTTTTATTCGATGCATTGGACGCAGGGTTGGAATCTCGATGATTCGAATTTTGAAAAGTGTAATTAAATGATTCAAATAACTTCAATTGTTAACTTCGTTAAAATAACAGACGAATCATTTCAGTAAATTTAACTTGGAAAAAGTACTTAATCTTTTTTGATCCGTTCTTTTTACTCCTCGTTTCTACAATGTATTATTATAAAATCAAACTCTAAAGTGAATCACCAATTATTTTACCATCACACTTGATTGGAGATTGGAGATCATAAATTTCCAATTTTAAAATTACAATTTTAAAAAACCGGCCAAACGTTTCCTTCAAGATCCACAACGAAAGCGATCGAAATAGTTGGAATTCGGATCGTTGCAATAAACTTCCCGGCCAAGATTTCACCATTTCCAGCCCCTCGTAACGTTCACCCCGTTGAAATATCTGGCTGGAAGTTGGTGCGCGACCGAACGTTGGAACGGGACGTGGATAAACAACGTGGAATTAAATATACAATAAAAGCGGCCGGTTCCGGACACCGAAAGGGCGTGGTGGGGGTGGAAAAGAAGCAAAACTGCTTTACCGGCTGCGCGACATTTCAACCTCCCCCGTAGGCCACCACGGATGCGGCAGCCGGCCGCATAAATAAATCCAATTGGCTCGAATAAAATGTACGAAACGAAGTCGCGCCAATGGCCGGGTATGTATTTTATTTTCTCTCGTTTTACTTCCACCCCCGGTGTCAGGCCAGCCAGCCAGCCAGCCAGCCAGCCAACCACCCACCCTGCCGCCTTTCCTTCCCCTACTCCACCCTACTCCCTTTCTCCTTCGTGCTCTCCTTCACGTACTCAGGCTGCCTCTGTCGCCGTCGTCGATGGGATAATTCAATCGTGACTTTTCACGGATTTCCCATCGAAGGAACACGCTGGTCACCCGATGGGTGGAAAGCTTTCGTTTTTTCGCCCTAGACGGAGCTTCGTTCCTTTACAATTCGTTTCGAGTACTCCTCTTCCTCGACGATGGCCTTCCAAGTGTCTGGTGAAGATTTTGAGGATGAGTTGGTGTTTGCAAATCGAAAGTACGTATCATCATATTGTCGAATCATAATTTTAAGTTTTAATACTTTTTCCAATATTATTTGAAGGAAGTGTATTTTTTTACAAAGAACAAACTTTTGTACTAATTTATCTTTTTTTATCCGTTTTCCTTATTCTTTTTTTATCTAGAAATCTATGTTTAATTCCTAGTTGCTTCGCAAGAAATTTAATTCTATAATTCGAAAAAATCACTTATCCAAATCAATCAATAGTCTGTAAATCTAACGATAAACGTTTGAAACAAAGCATGATCTTATTATCTGAAAAACCTTTTATCCAAATGGACTTCTCTTCCGATTAATTCCGATAATCGACGGTTATCCATTATACGCCAACACTTATACGCGACAACAAATTATCTTTACGATTATGATTACAACTGTATAAACATTTGCTTCGTAAATATTCAGCATCGATAACGAAACAATTATCGTTAAATGCCTCGATATTCGAATGAAACCAAAGAAAGAAAGAAAGAACAGAGAACTTTTCCCCCGCACGCAATTTTTCCCGATAAAGAGAGACACGAGCCTCTTTAAAAGCAGGCGTACGAAAACTGGATCAAGCTGGAGGGAAGATTTCTTCATTGGCAAGGGGAATCTCGTTGAGGTAGGTCACTCCTCGTAATTACCTTCTCTCACGGAAGTGGCGCGCTTCAACGTGGCTTGGTCGGCCCTTCTCAAGCTCGCCCCTTCATCCCCTACAATTAAACCCACCGACAATTAAATCGATAAAGCCCGCCCCTTTATGCCGATGCCGCTTACGCGCTTATGCGAGTATAACTCCTCGTCCCAATTTTACAGAGGAGGAACCGTCGTTAAGATCGATCCCCGTTTAATAAAGCGGCCCGATCTCTCCTCGTGTAATTTTCGATCGAGCCAAGCTTCTGTAATCGAGCTCTACTTAATTTATTATGGTAAAAAATTGGTAACGGGCAATTTTTTGGAAAATAATTGGATGGATTGGAGTATTTTGGTGGATACGTGATTTTTACGTAGTGGCATCGCAACCAGAACGAAGCGAAGAGATTTTGAACGGAATTTGTTGGTTGTTTATTGAAACAGTTTGGTATATAAATAATGATAACGATAGATAATCTCTAATCTCTAATCGTAATCTGTAATCGTAAAGGGGAAAATGGAACGACAGTTGAAAGGAAATGTTTGGAAAGGAAGATTGGAATAATTGGTTATTGTGAACTCTGAAAGAAATGAATATTTTTTTTTTTATTTTTCTTCTAAACACTTCCTATTTAACATTTCGTAATTCCTATTTAAAATTTCCACGTTCGTAATTACATTTATGCGTTGGCATTGAAATTATTAATTATATTATCCAACTAAAATTGGTTGCTTTACGTTTACTTTCCTTATATAATAAAAAAATTTATATTATTATTATTATTATTATTATTTGTATTTACTTCGCATTACACCCTATGAATATTCATCGCGTGGCAATTTACATTTTTGAAAACTGCAATTACTTTTAAGGAACGCAGTGTGTTGTTGCAATAATTATTGTCATAAAAGAAATTACGAAAGAATGGGATAAAGAAATCGGCGAAGGGCGACCTTGCGGCTGCAATGTTGGAATGTTAGAACGAATTTATCTTGAACCGTGGCCCCGGGGCGGCTCTATAATTTATGTGTTGCGGGTGTAAGGTGATGAAACAAATGAAATTAAATGTATACTGTATATGGAAGGTAAACAATACGCGTTGCGTTTCATCATTGGGAAGTCCATGTTAACATTAAGCAATTAGATAGCACTTGGTTTCACCGTGAAATTAAACGACATTGCTGGAAAACACGTAAACGCGTATTTCTCGAAACATGTGACGTGACTGATGTTCCATGAAATTTAGAATGTCGTAACCTTAGTCATTTTGCAAGCTTCTTTTCCTAAATGGAAACACGAGATTGAAAATCTTTTGACAAAAAACGAGTTGAAAAAATTCTAGTCGTGAAAGTTAAGTTCTTAAGCTGATAACTAAAAGTCTATTATCTCTGAGAGAAAGTTATTCCATGAAAATTGTCCATCAAACGTAAGATTGTTAAACGTCGTTTAAAAGTTAATTTTCAAAGCCATTAAATTTTATCTAATATAACCCCCATAAAGATTATTGCTAATTACTACTTAGATGCTATTATACATTCATAGAAAATTTAAAGGTGTACACAGTATACACGGGACAAATCTCCATTTATATAGTTTCGTTCATAAAAATACGTATTTGCATAAATATATGTATTATTACGCGTTATTAATTAAAAATCTTTCCGAAATTTCGTCCAACGACTATCCACAAATTTCACTTTCATTATTTGTCAAATTTTTCGAAATCCCTTTCGATAATCGTGATACCTTCAAAATTCATCCTGCCAACAATGAACCCTCGTTTTTTTTCAATGCAACTGCTTCAAACGTTCAAACAAAATGAATGCTAACTTACGATCGTCTTTCTTCGAAAAAAAGTTTTTAAAATCCACAGAAAATTCCCCGATTAAAAGTTGAACACGCGATCCAAACAATTTTCATCGCGTCATCAAACGCGAGATTGTCGAAGAGGACAATCGATTTTTTTTTTTTTTTTCGAACAACAAGAGGACGATAACGGTGCGCGAATATTTGGGGGAAAATCGGATAAGAACCAACACCGCCATCTGTTATGGGTGATAAGAACGAGGGGTTCCTTCGCAGTTTCCGGATAAGCCGCACAGGCTGGGGGTGACGTGACGAGCGACGCCGACGCCATGTGCCCAAAATGGCCGCGGATCGTTAAACGGTCACGCGCAAGCTCCTCAGGGGGTGGTGGGATGGGGAGGGTTGGTTTTAGGGGTGTTCTCGCTTCTTAATAGGATCGAAGAATAGTTACGCCGTCAGATCCACGCAGTTACGTGGGCCACCACCATTTCGACGAGTACGGTACGAATGAATAGAGAAATGATCCACAACGTTTTCGAACCTTATTTTTTATTATTTATTATTCGATCGTGCGAATAACGTTTGCGAGAGTAACAGTTGCGCGTTGTCGACTTTCCTTATTTTTCTTTCTTATTTTATCTCAGTTTGTTTAGATTACGTGTTTGGTTAGAGTGATTTTTGGATAGAGAAGGATTGAGGGTTTACGATATTTTTTTAAGACACAAGGTATAAGAAGTTCGTTTCGTTTATTAATTCTCCTTTGATGCGAGAATGAAGTTTATCCATGTATATGATAAATTTGTGTAATACTAATATTATTCATTTGTATAAATAATTTTAATCGGATACACCTTGTAATGTTCATAAAATTATTATATTCATCGAAGGAATACGAACGAGCGAGGAAGACAGAATTAAATCGATTTTTGAATTTATAAATTTTCTATTTAAAGATTAAGAAACTATTAAATTATTCATTTAGAAAAGTAACGAAAACTTGAACTTGAGAATACAAATCATTTGTAATATATATATATATATATATAAGAATATTCGTTATTAAAAATATCAATTTTCACAAATATATACAACGAATGAAGAAATCCGAATTTCTTCGACAATTAAAGACAGACTTTTAATTAGCCGGCTCGTTTTAGGAAATGAGGAAAAACCCGATCGGTTTTTATCTCTTACCATGTTTACCCGACGTGGCGCGAATTTTTTTCTTTCTCTCTCTCTCTTTTTTTTGCATTATTTTAATACTCCACGAGATTCGAGGCAGACGGCAATTCATTACGCGGCAGTCGGCAAATGGAGAGAGAGAACTTTCATTTCGAGGATAATAGAATACATATATATATATATATAGATCCGAATATTAATCGGCTCGTACGCGCAAATACCTATTAGCAAACATCGCGGATATATCGTTTATTGAAGGTTGGACAGGGCTCTCTCTCTCAGGGCTTACACATTGTTTAATCGTGGAAATATAATACGAACGTATCCATAAAGCCAAAGGGCGAAGCTTCGCTTCATTGTCCCTTGTTGAACACCTAAAAATCGAATCGTGCGTCCCTCGGCGCATTGAAAACGAGCCTTGGACAAACGGTCTGGCTTTTAAAGTAAACGATACGACACCGTCACGTCAATTATTTCATCGTGAAATAAAATCGCGTATTTCTTTCCGTTCAGGATTTTTGTTTAAACGACGACGATGAAATATTTTAATAAAAGATCCATTTGTAACTGGATGATGTTGTATCGGATATTTTTCTTTTTTATAATAACAAGGCATATTTCTATAATATCTATTTTTACGAAAAAAAACTTTTCTTTTATGGATTCGACGAGAAATTTCAAAAATATGATACCTTTTAATTAATTTTTTTAATCGTCCATGTATCTTTCAAATCTCTAAAACTATTTCATCTATCTCCATCCGTCGACAATTAGAAAAATATACAAATATATTCGATCAATCCTTTTTACTCGATAAACTTCTTACAACAAGAATAAAATCCAAGCAAAAAATTTTCAACGCGTCAAAAAATCCAAAATAACTGGAAGCCAATGAATTTGTTCGAAATTCACGGTGATGAGTGGCGTCCAAGGGCCATCGAAACGGAAGGGAAGGATCGGCAGGGAGAAAGGCGGCTTCCTAGTGGTCGTCGTCGTCGGGGTTCGTCGACCTTGTTGCGAGGCGCCTGTTACGCTTTCCCTGTCAACTTGACAGGGGTCATCGAACCGGTCGTACACTTTTTCTCTCTCTCTCTTTTTTCGCCGGTGGACGAAAGGCAAAGGTGGACATTAATCTGAGAAAGGGGTAAGCGCATCCGGCGATGGCGTGTTCGCGCTTTCCGCGTTTGCCGCGCACGTTCCTTTTCAGAGCGGCGCGTGCGCTCGCATGCGAGTAATTGCAAGTGGTGCACTTGCAGCTCGCACATGTCAAAAACGAATTGCAGTTGGCCCATTCGGTTGGGCCATCTGATGCCATCCGAGTTTCTTGCCCCGGGAAAGGGTTTCTTCTCGCACGAACCGAATCTAGGGACTGCCCTGCCTCCGGTGTCATTCACCTTTCCACGTTGGGATAATGCATGCATGCATGCGTCGAACGAATTTCGTAACTTTCGAATTAGATTTTTCTAAATTTTGATCCCTCGATCCGTTTTTTTTTTTCTCAATATTATTTCTGTAAAATAGCTGGATATTGTGGAAATTTGTTCTTCCCTTTGTTCTTTATTTTATTGTTATTTGAAGGAATCTTTTAATGGAATGTTATAGGAATATTAATTTAACTTTTAATTTTTATCAATAAATTCATAAGAATTCACGAGAGGAAAAAGTAATATAATTGATTAATGAAGATTTGAACGTTTTGTATACTTGCTATATGCAAAATCTCTAATAAATACACGAAACATCAACGATATATCTAAATTCTCGAAGAATTTATAAAAAGAAAAAAAAGTAGCCAAACTCTTCTTACGTAATTTGTCTCTTCTTTTACAAACAGTTTTCAAATACTTGCTTGCAACAATTATCTCTTCGCGAAAGCGTGAATTTTAAAATTGGCAATAACGCCAGTTTTAAAATTAAATTGGCAAACAATTCAATTCGCATGCCGTTTATAAAGCCGCGAACGGGGCTGAACGAATCTTCCCGATTCGTTGAATAGATAACACGATGCCACGTAGAGGATACGCTAATAAACGAATACGAATATTTGCTCGATAAACCGATTCGTTTCTCATATATTCGTGAAACATTTGTCATCGATTGTTAAATATAAGGATTCGTAATCTCCGAGGAATTCTCATTATACGGTAACTAAAGATTGCCTCGGCAATCAAACATTTTCAAACAGATAGCCATCGTCGGTCTTTAAAAGCTCGAGACGGACGGAACGATACTTTTCTATTCTTATACGTGACGTGATCCGTCATTCATTAGGGGGAGAGAGAGTTTAACG